TCTACTTTGTTTTCTCCATGGAAATAAACATCAATCACTTGCAAGAAAAGTGACAAAAAATTTGCATTTTATTTTAGAAATACGTCTAACTCGAATATGTATTCTGAGATTATAAGAAAACCACTGAATGGCTCATTGTGTAGCTCCATAATCCAAAATGTTTGAGGAAAATGGATAATTTTTATTTTTAAATGTATATATCCTAATTCTTAAAAGCTTTTATATATACTCCTACGCATTCAAACCAAAACCTGGTAATTTTTTTTCTTTTCCTGTAAAATTTAGCATTTTTGAATTGTTTCACTTTTCTTGTAGAAATTATGAAATTCAATAGAGATTAAAAAAAAATTACCTGTATCACTCTTATTGATTTAAGCCTGAATACAATACAAATAGTTTCCACTTGATTAAAAGAAAAAAAAAAATTAGGCAGTGTTTCATTATATCAAATATTGGTTAATTTAAATTCAAATTATCAATAACTGACCAATATTTGTTTATATATATTATATTATTTGATTAAAACTTCACATTTATGCTAATAAATTAACAAAATATTATAATTCTTTTCTAAGTTTCTGATGACCTTTTTATCTTGAACAAATAAACCTTTCTATCAAAATCAGCTTCCTCAAATTACTGAATTATAAAATTGTACAGATTGAAAAGTCACTTATATCCATCATAAAAAAAATATAATAAACCTATAACAATTTTCTGAGATTTTTAGTTTATAACAAACAAAGCATGCATTTTTTAATATCCAACAATATCAAGACCATATCAACAATAACAATTATCTGCAAAAATATTTTGCAGTCCAAATTTATCTTTCAAATGGATGGTTTATTAAGGCTAGAAATTGTATTATATAAATAGTTCACATCAAGCTCTTTTGCCTAAAAATTAAGCAACTTAAAAAAAAATCAAAAATGCTCAAGTAAAATCTGCGATTTTTAAGAGTGAAAAATTATTTATTAAGAGTTTGGAAAAAAGAAGTGTATTTACATTGGTACAAGAGAAATGCAATGAGAGACGCTTTTATTTATTTATTTTAATTCAATAGAGTTCTATATCACAAGATTTTTTTTTCACAATTTCATTTTATATGTTTTTTCAACATATAAGAAAAATAAATATAATTGATTTGGAACAACCACCACTAAAATCTTTTATAACATAGTTCCTTATTTAGCCTATAATCAGTTTAACAGCTGTGACAGGAGTATAGTGATGATGTTTCCAAATGCAGCATTTGAAATCAATAATAAAATTTTAGAAAAATTAATATAGCTTTATTTAATAATTTATTACCCAACATAAGTCTGTTTGAAAGGTCATATGTTCATGTGTTCAATATTAGAACAAATTAATAACAAATAATATTGGCGATTAATCAGTTATTAAAAATGATGAATAGAAAAAAGTATTCAATAAAAATAATTTATAAATGTAGAGCTTAAAAGTTCTACAAGGCTAACCGAGTCGGTTGTCACCAGTGTACAGAATTTTTTATTTTGGTCAAACCTAAGTCATTCTTCACAACCTCTTTAATTTGAGTCAAAGGTTGACTGCACCTTTTTCAGACCTAAACCCTTTAGAAAAATTCTCTTTGGTCCCGGGAATAGTACCCGTGTCTGTACGATAAGCAGAGGCCCTAACCACTACATCCAAATATGTTCTATAAATATTATAAAATAATTGTTTGCAGAACTATTGTTGTATTTTAATAATATCCAATATTGGAATTTAAATATCAAAAGTGACTGTGCTGATTAAATGTACAGAAAAATAATTCTAATAGCATCAAAGATAAAACAAAATAAAAATTACATTCCTAACTGCATTTGACATAAAGAAGAATTTCTGAAAAATACTAATGCTCGATATAAAAACATTTTTAAATTGATTTATAAATCACAGATTTGTACAGACCCTAGTTAATACTTAATAAGGGCTTATTTAATGTGTACATTGCGGAACAGTTATTGTTACAAAACTGTGTTATCTGAAAAATGCAATTTCATTATGATAAATTGACCCATTAATGAAGGAAATTAATAATATAATTAAAAAATATGACTGCACGGAACAGTGTAGCTAGCACTGTGCTCCAACAGTTAGATTCATCCCTTGATCAATGCTCGGCTTGAATAAATACTGGAAGCATATTTAAAACCAAAATTCAGATCCTGATCCTGATTTCTATCAAGAGAAAATTTAGAGTTCGTAGAGTTTGAACTGGATTCTTTACATCATCCTACCTGTTATATGGTTTCTTCTTTTTTTAATTAAAGAATGGGAATTACTATTGTAATCAATATATTAAGCATATTTATTCAATTTTAAGATATTGTTCTCTCAGTTTCTTATATAACGGTATTCAAATTTTCCATTTTAAGAGGTTTTATACCGCCTTATACTAGAATGAAAATAATTTGAAACAGAATAGTTCATCCACAACTAAAAAAATAAAAACTAATAACCTAAAGAATAATTTAGAGTTGGGATAGTTCATGATTTAGGATAGTTTATAATCAAAAGTTTTAAAATGACTAGCAAATCTATTTGTGCTTAAAGATATAATTTTTTTTATAAGTTTTTTTCAGAAAAGGGAAAGTGGTGGCCGAGCAGGATAATGCGTGCATACAGCACTGCCATTGCCCAGCAACCTGATCGAAGATATAATTTGATAAAATAAGTACAAGTTTACGTCCTGGTGCCGGGGGTTACTTTTAACTCTCGCATCAACCTCTGTCCTCCCTGGCCTGGGAAAACCCCCATATAGCCTAAAAGGTGAGGAAGAGGAGGACAAAATAAACAAAGTTCCTTCATTATAAATAATAAGAACAAGAATGTTTATTTTATCTAGTTGAGTGCTTAATAAAGAAATAAAAAAAGGCCATTTAAAATTTGAATAATTGTTTACAATTAATTAATTTTGTAATAAATTGTATATTTTGTAATACATACAAAATTATTTTATAAAGTTATTAAAAAAAAAAATGTTATTTTCTTGACCAATTGATTGTAACTAAAACATCCAGATATATTCCTTTTGAGAGTATTTAAAAGCCATAATAATATTATGGAAATTTGACAACGGCATGTCACCCGAGGATAATATCAATAGTTTGAAACACATTATGGTCAGTAAAAGTATCTTTTATAGAGTATTAGTGTTTATTACTGTTGTTAAAATTAAATTGAATTATTGTGCTTAAGAAATATTTTTGATTATTAAGATAAATTACAAAGATTAAAAAATTAAGAAGTTATTAAATTTTATAATTGTTGCGGTTTTTGGACAACTATGAATCAAATGTCGATTCAATACCTTGCACACATTAATTATAGTTTCTTATCATCACCTAAATATTTGGAAATATAATTATGAACTACTAATAAGACATTATTTATTCTTACAATTCAAGTTTACAACAATACAATCAGATTCCAAGATCTATATAATCCAAAACTAGTGCTTTCAATATAACAAACATTTGTTTTCTTTCTATTAATACAAGTAGTGTCTCTTATAAATCTTTTGGTACACCCTGAATTCGATCAGCTTATTTATTTATACTAATATTAAACAAACATAGTCTTAACCATATGCTGGTTGTATTAAAATTAAGGCGATATGTAATACAAAATATTTTAAATTTAATATCACTGTATAGAAATTTGTCTTTTTTTCTTTTAAATAATACATATTAACTTTTATTGTTTACAGGGATACACAATTTATCATTGCAATAAATAATTTGGATAGATCACACTCAAGTACATTCAATATATCTTAATGCAAATATAGACATATATAAAATCAATCTTATATTTACATTTTTGTGGTAGTTGACAATTGCGAGTGAGCAAAGTAGATAACTTTAAATCTAATTTGCATTTCTTAAAAAAAAAAAAATAACAATAGCTAATATATATATTAAAGTTTAAAATGTATGTAAATCGGTCAATTACTCAGAGAAGTGCATTACCCAATATAAAAAATAAACTTATAATTAATTAAAATTATCCTTATTCTTTTCATGATTTCACAGAGTAATTTATATGATAGTATAATTATATTTAAATAAATTTTGATTTTGTGACTTAATGTTAAAAGAATATTAAGTAATAGTTGATTATTATCGGTGGTTTTAAAATTTAAAATATATATATTTTTTTAAAATAAATATTTGTTCCAAGATCAAATTAAACAAAATATAAATTCATAGCTTTATTTATTTATTATTTATTATTATTTTTAGCTATAATTTGTAAAAATAATTGAAAGTATGAGATAAATAAATTAAATTTAAATGAATTTTGAGGAAGGTACATCTCTGAGTATCAATATCAGAAACAAATTTTTTATAGTTGCCAACTTTACATATTATTAAAAGTAGATATAACTATTAAAATTAAGTACTTATCACACTCTTTGGTTAATTATACAACATCTAAGTTTAACACATTTACACTTATGTGAATATTTTTTTTAATATAAATTTAATGCAGCATATTCCACCAAGAAAGAGTAAAGTTTTATGAAATAATACTGACGATAACTTAATTTTTATGCATATAATATTTAAATTTATTATTGATTCTATCTTTCAGCAAGCTTTTCAACAATATATATATATATATTTATATATACATAATATATATGTATATATTTTTATTATTAAATATATTATTATTTACAGTAATGGCTCCAACAGAGCATTATGTACCTCAAATGTTTGAAGATGTGCTGTTTTTGGTGTAATGAGGTACAAAATATTGAATATAATTTAAAATCAGCACAGTTAGTACAAATTATTGTGTATTCTTTATGAACATATTGCTAAACTGTTATACCAACTTTAAATCTTATATAAAAGCACAACAAATTTCCCAATATTTTTCGTGTATTCAAAGAGATGTTATTGGTTTGAGAAGTGATGAAGCACAATGCAACTTTTAATAATCAATTCCTTTTAGTTGAGATCTTCTTATTTCTTTGAAGTCAAGATTGTTACAAACTCTGTAAACAAAAATTAAGTTTAATAAAGTTTAATCAAAATCGTTAAGAGTCGTATTTTAGAAAATCATAAAAATGTTTTTCACCATTGATATAAAGTGGCACTCCCAGTTAGCCGATTTTAAGGAAAAAGTTGCTGTCACATCTAAAGCATATGCCTATCTTAAATACGCAATATCAGTTTCTTTTTTAAGCTAGACTGTTCACATACACAACGACCATTTTGCGGAACATGATTATTTGGACTCAGGAGACCTCAAAATATGTATTTCCGTTGAAAACTCAGATTCGAAAATTTTCACTATTGCAATACTTTTCCTTACTATATATCACATATACAGGTAAGTGAAAGTAAAAATATTAAAAAAATATACTGTTAATTATAAAATGGATCACAAAAATTGCTTGATTATACCATCAAGCAGATATCATAAATAAAATAAAAATACAATTTTAACTATAACTTAATTTCAATTAATTAATCTGTGGTTTGATTAATTATTCATTAATTAATCATTTTGATTAATTTTGTTTTAATAGATTTATTTTATCACCTGCATAATTGACCATTCCATCACCATCAAGATCTGCTTCTTTAATCATGTCATCCACTTCTTCATCCGACAATTTTTCTCCTAAGTTTGTCATGACATGCCTTAGTTCTGAATTTGAAATCAATCCATCATTGTTTTTGTCAAAAACTCTGTAAAAAATTATATGACAATGAATTTTGTATATTAAAAATGGAGGAATAAATGTAGTCTTAAAACAAACCACTCTTTACAACTAATCTTCTGTCAAATAACTCACTGTAGAGTGTACTTCGAATAGATTGATCAAATATGAATTATCCTCAAAATGAAATCAAAACTCATAAGGAATGGGAGCCAACTAACTCACTGATTTAGGTATCTTTATCACTTTTTAATCCCTATACTTTTTTTTTCTCTTTCATTACCCGCTTCGTTGCAATTTATGGTATACCTGGGGGAGGATGGAGGAGGGAGTTGATCTAGATGCACAACTAAAGCTGTGAGAAGATCGAGATTCATTCCGTGCATCTGCCAAAAAATTAATTCAACCCAGTCTATTTAACTACTTATAAATATATAGATTGCCAACCTAGAAATGATTATATAGTCCATGGGGCTTCTTAGTGAGACAAGACAATTCCTTCATATCTCATTGGTCAAAACTTAAAAGTAAACGTTTAAAATAATTAATTTTTAATAAACATTAGCAAAATCACAAAAAAATATTGAGTTATTAAAAATCTTTAATGTTCTATTAAAAACTGATATTACCAAAGATCTCTAATATTAGTTTGTTTTTATAATTCATTAAATAAGTATGATGTATCACCTGAATGCTTCTCGAAGTTCATCTTCACCTTCAGCACCTTTCATTTTTTTTGACATCATTTGAAGAAATTCATTGAATTCAATTGAACCATTTCCATCTTGATCAACATTGCTTACCATATCTCTTAATTCTGTCTCTGTAATTTTTAAACATATTGGGTCATAACACAACACGTTATAATATTGTTTATGCATTTTTTTTATACTAATAAAATTACAAAAAAATCTAAGGTAATGACTAAATAAGAAAAGTACAGAATGATACCCATAGTTCACTTGATTTGGTTGCCACAAAAAATAATGTGTGTTAAGCATTAACTTAATTTCTTACACTGAAAATTACCCCAAATTTAGACTACTCGGGAGACGTAGATATTCTCTCTTTCAGGTTTTTGGATGAAATGCAATGGTGCATGTGATTCTTCTATAATCTCATTCCTTAGGGAGAGATGAAAATTAAACAGATAATTTAGATCATATGAGAATATTAAGTAATATTTAAGAAAAATTATAAAATACAAAATTCGAATCTTGTTGATTTAATTATAGTTTTAACAGTGAAACACTGCTTTGGAGGTTTCACAGACGGAAATCAAACTATGCATTTGAACATGAATATGTATAATTTTTATTTGAATTTCTTTGATAAATGGGAAAAGTTTGTCCTACTCGATCTGAGATTCACTAGCTCCTCGCCTATTAGTACTGAGGCACTAACTTATAACTATGGAACAATGCCCCAAACCTCTAAATAAAATAAGTGTGCTATCCCAGTTAGCTAATAACAACAAAATAAATATTAACAAATATAATCAATACTCATTTTATTTATGATTATACAACTGGTGTTGGTAAAGAAGTAAAGTGAAGAGTAGAGAAGTTACCTAGGGAAAGGAGAAGTCTACAAGCTCACATGAATAATAATTTACCAACCACAAAAGCCAACTCTGGGACATGGAGATGCATGATTTGAGAAAAATTAACATGGTCTACATAAGATTTGAATAAATCTGAGAGTTATGAACCATACCACAATGTTGTGGTATATTTTACTTGTCCATAACCGCTAGTGATACATAATTAAAGTTAAGATATTTTCACTAATATATGTCAGGTATTTCCATTTATTAATGGATATATAATTTACATTAAAATATTTGATGATAAAGAGAAGAAAATTAATTGTTCTTATATTTTTGTACGAATCTTCACAAAACTGTCCTCAAAGGGGACTTTTATAAATGGATACCCACTAAGAGGAGTTTCGAAAAAATTAAAATTAATAAAATAATGTATTTTTTATTCATGTGGCACTTGAACATAAACATACTTATAATATCTTAGTAATATTGTACTTGATTGGAGAATAAATATATTATAATACATTAATTGATATTATGCTTTTAATTTTAGTTGAATCCTCAGTTTCTCTTTTTTATCCCTAATTGTATCTAATTCCATTTTAAAATATTACAAATGAAATAAACTATGTAGTAAAGAAAATGGCACACCCTAAGCTATTTGTTCTTGTTCCCATTAACTAATAGGGAACGTGGCTTTTTACATGTACAATCATTTTCCAGAACTTTGTAGGTTTTTCAGGATTGAATGAGAGAAAACTTGAAAATATATGTAAAAGTTCCTGATATTCTCACAGCTTTTACAATATATAACATATATCATATGAAGCAAACTAATATTTATATTTATAAAAAAAAAAAATACTGTTTTCCAAATAAAAAAGAAGATTTATATGTGTTTTTAATAAACTAAATGCATTGATTTTTCTCCAATAGCATTAATTATTGATTAAAACTGATTTAGCATTAGCTTAACCAGGTTTAGAAAAATTTCTAAGGAACTTATTTATTAATCCATTATAATATTCTTAATTTGGAGAGTAATTCTGATAGCTTCTTAAAATTTTAAATAGTCACCTGTTTTTCATGTATTTGTATTTCTTAATCTTAAAAATATTGTATACTCATAAAAAAGAATTATTTAATTACCTGTAGGTCTCTGACCAAGTGATCGCATGACGACACCTAGCTCGGCCATGGTGATAGCTCCATCTTCATCTTTATCAAAGAGCATGAATGCTTCTTTAAACTCTATAACAAAACATTAATATGACAATTAAATTAATAAAAAATTGATTTAAAAATGATTAAAAACTATTAATAAGATTATAGTTAAAATTTGTATCTATTGAATAGGTAAATATTACCATCATGCTTCAATAAGTTATGATGTTAAATATTTACAGCCGTAATTTTATAGTCAAATATATGGAATTACATGGAGTTAGTTGGAATTCAAGAGATCACATCCTTGCAGATATCTATCATTAGAATGAAAAGCCAGTGGAGGCCAGGTATATAATAGCCTTTATGTCAGGACTCGAGTAGATATCAAGACTGCAAAGGCCGTATCTTCTAAAATGTCTCAAAGCTATCTAAATTTTATCAAAGATGTATATTAAGGAAGGAATAGGGTATTTAAAGTGCTTGATTTTCCAGCACAATGTGAATGTATAGACTAAATAGATGAATAAACAAAGTAAAGCTTTTGATGGTTGATATATTTATACAGCTGATTTGATTTAAAACTAAAAGACATCACAAAATAAATAGAATTGAATAATTATTAATATTTCAAGCTTTGTTTCTTTTTTTATATCCACAATCTGGATTTGAAGTATTAATTTATTAATATCTTTGGACAAGGAAAATAATTGATAGAATTGATTAATTAAAAAAAAAATTGAATAAAAATGTATGAACATATAATTGATCTAGATCAATAATATAGTCTATTATACATTTATTAAATTACTTATTACTTTTTAAATAAGAACAATAATAAATAACATAATAATAATCAAAATAACATGATGAAATAATAATAATAAAAATAAATGATGAACTACATTATTAAGGAAAAAAATCTTATTAAATCTAAAGAAGATGAAATTCAAATTTTATAATAAAAGAAAATTCTGATTACAGTTCAAATTAATGTCTGAAACCCAATTTCAAAATTCAATTTTAGAAAGAGGTGTTCTTTTATAGCCAATATCTAAACTGGAAACAATCTGTACTATTGACTGAATTATATGAAAATATAGATAGCACTCACCTGCAACCTGCTCCTCTGTGAGGCCATATTCAGACTGAAAAGAACAAAACAAAATTTTGTTAAATCGATTGAATATGTTAAAATTATTTTTGAAAATAATGCTAAAAGTTGTTCATTTCATTATAAAGGTGATCGATTCTTATGTTGAGTAATATTATGTCATTCTGGAGAGCATGGCCATTGTGTAGGTAGTGTTGTGCACCATGAATCAGGAACAAAAATGTAAAGAGTATACAATATTCTTGAAAATTGAACTATTTTTTTCCACATTCCACTTTCTGACACATTCCGTTTTATCTTTTTTCAAAACTTCATATACGATGAACACACCGGTTATAAACAGATTCGACTTAAAAGTAAATGATAAGCTTCCTTGTTGATTTAAAGATTCCAATTTTTTTCTAGATTGAAGAACAATGCCGTCCATTAACAACTGCATTAACAAAGTTTCTAAAAGAAAAATTTCAAAATGTCTATCATTGTTGTTTCTATTGTGCTCTTGAGATCAGTATGTTTCATACCTTCCTACTGACAGTTTTGATAAGAGTAAGTTGAACATTTATGTTATGTTATCTTTATAGTTAAAGACAATTTTAGAATTTTTCTGGGATGTCATAGTACTACCCCGTCATACTGACGATGATTCGCTGTCACACTAGTGAATCTTTGTTTTTAAGGAGATTATATCAGCATAACAGAATATTTTTCAATTTTAAAGTGTTAAGTATAAAAAGGAGGCTCTAGAGATTATAAATGTCCAATGGGGAAATTTACAACTATAATAATTATGGCGGCATAAGGCAAATAAGACAAAACATTTCCTCAGCTATGTCCATCACTGTTACGCTTTCCCTGCAAGTTTTCATGTACACACTATTCTTTCTAATCTCAGCTCCAGGTGTAAAACAAATTACAAGCTGGCTGACTAGAGATTCATAATTTATCGGCCATTGGAGAAAGTGAAAAGGTATAGTACGTATAATTTGCAATTGAGGAAATAGACTGCTGGCTAATTCGAAAGGTGTCAGGGGGCACCTTGTAAAATTTGCCTGAGGTCTATTAATACCGGGGGAGGGGAGACGATCGCTCTCCCAATAAAAATATTGAGGGGGGAGAATATCGTTTCACCCTCCTTCACCCCAATAATTTGAAGTAAAAAAAAGATAACAAATAAGCGACATGAATGAATGAAATATGTAAACTAAAATCGATTAAGAAAACAATAAATGGTGACTAGCTGGCTAAGCTAAGGGCTAAAAATAGGTTCAGAACTATTTTATCACGACCTAAATATTCTTATAATTTAAATTTTCATTTATATTCAAGGATAATAATAAACATATCCTTGGATTTTATCATTCATTCATCTTTCGTGTGGACACCTCCACGGCGGATCTACGGGGAGGAGGGAGGAGCTTTCGGGCTGAAGTCCTCCCAAAATGGTAAAATTTTACCATGTTTTATGGAAAAAAATAGTCTCTTAAAGTATTATTGTTCATGTATCAGAATTAAAAGGACTTTAGGAATCACTTAAACACCATTTCATATAGGTAGTAAGTTTATTTCTTTTTTAACAAAATAATTATCGTTATTTTTATGAAAAAAAAAGCTTTTGGGCTGAAGTTCCCTCCTAAAATTAAATCCTGGATCCGCTAGTGGACACCACCATTTTCACGTGATTTTCTAGTAAGTTTTCTGCGATAAAGTTGGAAAAAACTATATTTAATAAGTAAAAGTATAAATATATTCGATAAAGAATGGTTTTATAGATATTTTTACATAACTAGTCAGACTGTGAAAAAGTTTTATTTTTATTTTGAGGTTGTAGAAACGAGGGGTGCCTAGGAGGGAGTTTCATAGAGTAAGTTGCGCCATTAAAATTTATGAAGGGGTATATTTTTATGGGTTTTGAACTTTTGAGGGGGACGAATTTCGACAGGATTATGAATTTTCGGACTTAGAGAAAAGGGGAAAAACATGGAACATTTCGCAGCATGTGTAATTGTATATGATCTACGATTTTCCTAATTCTACCTTAGCTGCTCTGTTTTTAAGAAAAGTGGCTGCCCCCCTTCCTCCCATGTTTAACTTATTTAACAAATTGCAATACATCAAATTGTTTTGTTCAGCTATTATCAAGTATACCTATAAGCACAAAAAAACAAAACAAAAAAAACTGTCTAAATATATTTATAAGCTTATTTTTAAATATCTAATATTATATTTGTTCGTTTCACAATAATTGTTGTTGTATTTGTACACATACCTAATATGAATTACCATCATTTTTTTCTTTTTTCCATCCCCTCCCTTTCCAATCAAAATTGAATGATTGACCTATGACCTCTGGTACTATTTTACAAGTGTTGCTCCACTTTGATGGTCCGAAAGAGATCTCATGACCACACTATAAATGGAATTCCGAGAATGGCCATGTGTGTCCAAAAGTAGACGAAGGTGACTGAACCGTCTGGTAAGGTCCCGACGTCAAATGGAAAGGATCCATTGGGAACTTGTTTATTATTTTTCAGCGAGTGTAAAGGCGCAAGCAGCGAAGTAATTAAAGCTAATTAAGAGATAATAATCCGATTTTAATTAAGAAGGACCAATAACGAGATTACGGAAGTCGCAAATCGGCATTTAAATAAAGGGAGTTATTATCCTCCATCTATTTATTTATGCCTCCCTTCCTTGCCTTTCGGCTACACGGGATTTTGCACGGATGGCATATCAAACACTTGCATGCCATTCCTGCTATTAAACCACAAATTAATTTTCAATTTTATTATCTTGTTTCATTATTTTCACTATATTAGTCTGGCGGCCTTCTATTAGCAGGTTCTCTTCCCAGATTAAAGTGGGAGGGTCCCAGAGCAGCTTTCCACCCGTACACAAAATCTTTGTAATACGAGTAGTTCTGCTCCGTCCCTAATTCGGGAAATTCATCCTCCGTGAGGCCATAGATTCCCATTTTTCTTATCATTTCGACCCTTAGTCCATCAAAGGCGGTGCAGTTGACGATAATATGCTCAGCCGTCTCCGGTACTCCGCAAGTGGGGCATAGGAGATCTATGTCTTTTCCAAAACTATGTAACTTAAAGCGGAAACCCCCATGCCCAGTAAGGAATTGAGAGATCCAGTAGTCCGGGAGAACCCACTTAGCTTTCAAGCGACTTCGGACGGTGGAAAAATATTTTCTTAAAGTTGCACATTTCAAGGTTGTTACCCACCGCCGATTCCACTCATCTATGGTATCCTCCCGGATAATCCTCTTCCATTTTCTTGGATCTTCTGCAATCCTCACCCGGATATTCTCCGGAAGACCTGCTGAGCTTTCTCTTTTTAACTTAAATATTAGCGAGTCTTCTCGCAGGAGAAGGTCGAGAGGTTCCCCTCCTGCTAAGATCTGCACCGCCTCGTGAGACACATTTCGGTATGATTTTGTGACTCGCAACAGAGCCGTACGTTGAATTATCGCCAATCTGCGTTTCTGACGGTGTGAGAGAATCTGAGACCACGCAGAAGAGGCGTACCTCAGAATAGCCACTATCATTCCATCGTAAATAATCCTCGTAGCTGGGTATCTGAGGTCCCAAAATGCACCCCCTAGGCGACTAAGTCCAGGCTAGGGCCACCCTACTTCCTAAGTAGTCCAAATGAGGGGTCATAATAAATCCTCTTCCAAACCTTATGCCAAGGTAGGTGACCACCTCACTTGGACGTATTCTCGTTCCCTGTATACACAGATTGATAGGGTGTGCCCTATCCGTCTTTCCCTTCAGCAGGATCGTCTGGGTCTTTGATGCGGCCATTCGTAACTTCATCTCCTCACACCATTGCCCGACCAGATTGGCGCATCGCTCTGCTTGTAGCTTTATTCCGGCTCTGCTGTTTGACGCTACTACTGCCGCCAAGTCATCGACGTAACTCGTAGCAGGGAACCGCTCATTTTCGAGCACACCCAGCAACTCATCAAACACTAGCTTCCATAGAGTCGGACCAAGGACTGATCCCTGAGGGCATCCCCTCTCTATGGAAGCTTCAGTTTCATAAGAGCTACCTCTGACCTTAACAAATCTGTCCTGGAGATTATTATTATTATTATCCTCCATCTGTCAATACTCCGCCATTCTCCGAATTACACTTATAGTGTGGTCAAGGATCTTGGGCCCACCCGTCAAAGTAGAAGTAAAGTAGTACCAGACTGCCATAATGCCATAATTTAACAGGTATGATCTACAAGTTAGGAAACATAACAGATGCATTTCATTCAAATCATAATCTAAAAAACCAAATCAATCAGGGTCTGATCCAGAGGGTCTTGGATTTTGACAAGTTTTTGGATATTTGTTAAATGCATTAATATTTAAAAAAATAAAAAAAATAAGGTTTTTTGGACCTACAGTTTTTGAATTATAAATTTTTTAAATGATAAAAAACTGGAAAAACGGTGCCTATTTTTAATAGGTTTTGGGATATTTCTCAAGAACTATTTGATCTAGAAAGCTGATATCGGTGTCATATTTTTCGGTTGTTTATGATCTTCCTTTTGATACAGGACATGACTATATTCTATAAATATAATATTTTTCCAAGAATTTATTTTTGAATTTTGAAAAAAAAAAATTTGATTTTTATTAAAAATCAAGGACATATACACTCCCCAGTGAAGAAATAAATGAATCAACCATCATTTTATAAAATTAAAAAAAAAAATATATACAAAATAAGAGACATTTGAACATGGGTTTGTAAATATTGTATTCAAGTTGTAAGTACACGTAACATTTAAATAAAAATATATAAGCAGAAATTTAATTTTTTAATGTTTATATTTTATTGGAGGACCTTGACGGCGTTTTTAGGGTACCTATAAGTAGGTCAACATTTATTTTCTTGTGAACCCATTGTTTCATTACTTTGAAATTTGGCACACCCTTGGCTACCATATATTAGAATAACATATATTTTTTTAATAAAAATCAAAAGTGGATTTCTTAAAAATTCAGAAATAAAGGTTTTGGTTTTCTTTTA